GTGGACAAAGTTTGAACAAATATCTATTGTCACTTTTATTTCAGAGGAATTACCTTAAGTTTAGTTGAAACTGACATTTGGGAAGACCACCAGAGTTTTTAATTACAGTCATGTACGCATGTACATGGCGGTATCCCTAACATGACGCAACTGGGAGAATTGCCACTCCTCTTCCCTTTGACCTGACCCCAGATTATAAGAGGTGACCATGAACACTGTTTTAGGTCACCATTACAGTTCAAGTCATACACGTACATGTGAAAAGAATTCACTTATGACAGTACTATTCTTGCTGTTCTCAGGGAGATGACTTTGGCAGTTCATCTGGTTTGTTGAGTGGCAGTGCTGCACGACTGTCACAAATGATTTCATCCGGACGATCAAACAGAAAATTAATGTGCTACCTAATAGCAGGACTTGTGGGATTCTTCTTCATTGGATATTATGCACTCAGCAAGGTCATTGTCAGATAGTCAAAAGCACTAGCAAGCAAAAATAATTACATCTTTTTATTTTACGAGTACAAACAGGTGTCATTGCACTGTAGATTAAACATGGGACCCAGATGTGTTGAACAAATGCAAATAAATGCATACATGTATGTGCTCTTGTGTCAATGGGAGTGACAGTATTGTCGAAGCCTGAAACATTACTGAGAGGAAAGACATTTTTGGCAGATTGTCACCCCAGGAAGAATTGTACATTAAGTCACTTCAACATCATGCCTAGCTTTGCTTTAGATTTCTTGTAATGGTAATCACTAGATGTACTCAATAACAGTGCAATCCAGTGTCTGCCCAGACAAGTAGATTTTCCCACTGTTAAGGAACTTCTCATTCTCACTTACCCAGCAAGTCATCTGCCAACACAAAAAAATGTAAACTAAGATTTGCTTGGGGCAAGCAAAATCTGAGAGCTGCTTGTCCAAAGGGCAAGCTGGAATTCAAGTTTTTCTCGAGCCCTGGGTATGTGCAGTATTTGATATGTTATAAGTATGATGAATCAACGTTAATTAGAGACTTGGAAGGAAAGCAAAGGAAATGGAAAGTTTCTTCCTTGTTGGTCGGCATAGCTTTAAGACTTGCAATCAAAATGGATGACCCTTCTGGTTAAAACTTTATTCTCCGATTCAAATTTCAGAGTTCAACAAAATGCAATTGTAACCTTTGTTCAGTTGAGCTGAAAAAATTCAAACTGCTATGAATTACTGACAGGAATAATGATCTTACTTTTGAAAGCAAATTGCGTTTCACCTGTTTACTTTTTGACTGTAGAAGACTTACACAGAAATCCTTTGCTATCCAACAATAGTCTTGCTTTGCTGTTCGTGATTACCATAGTGTTAATTACCTCACTAAAAATTATTTAAAATTATCCTAGTTGAAATTTAAAGATTGTAAGTTAGTAAGTTATTTATTTTAGAGGTGCTTTGAGAAGGAACCCAAGTGAAATGTATAAAATTAATTAATGAAAACAACAGTTGAAAGAAATTTACGGAAAACAAACATTTGAACTCTTGAGAGAATTTAAGCGTAGTTTAAGATAGCAGGGGTTTGAAATACAGTACCTAAATTAGCATATTCAAGCCAAGAAAATGATTTGAATTCAAGATAGCGGGGAGTTGAGATACTAAGGTGTAACTGTACTAGTTTTGTGCAAAGAAAGTTAGATACAGTAGAATCCCGATTTCTCAAACCCTCATTTTTTGAACCTCTTGATAACTCGAACCAAAAGTCGTTTCCCCTCCGCAGTCGAACACTGTAATTTTACCCCCAATTTCTCAAACTCTGCGATTTTTCGAACCAGTTTTCTTTTCCCTTGGGGGTTCAAAAAAAAAAATCAGGATTCCACTGTAGATAAGACCAACAAACACATGTGATCTATTCTTTAATATTAACATTTTATTGAATATTTCTTCATAATTATAAAAAAAAAGGCAGTACATGAATAGCAGTACATAAAAATAGCAGTACATGAATGTTTATGAAAACGTTTTACTTGTACATATACATTTACTTTCATGTTATTTTATGAAGTTAATTACCAACAAGAAATGGTCAATATTAATACCATTAGGAAACACCCTTTAAGGAGGTATACTTTAAAAGCCATATGTCTGTAAACATGTGTTGTTGATGAGAAAATGAAATTGGGCAAGGAGAATTTACATTTTGATGACCAATATAAACTAGAACTTTTACTTCCATTTTCTTGCGAAAACACACACTCAGGCTTGTCAGTGCCCACAGCATTTCTTGTTCTCCCAAACTTCCTGTCATGTTTCTATAACTAAACATAAACATTAAAAATGTATGGACTTTGTCGAATATTATACAGTCATGCCAATAAATAAACCTTACACCTGAGGTGCACATTACTGTTAGTTTAGAAGACAAATGTCTGTTAAACAAAAACTGTTGTAAAACCACCTTGGAAATTAAATGCACAGAATCATACTGCTTGTTGAGTGTTTTACTTTTACAAGTGAATATATGAAAGAACATATATTTGATCTGCGGAGAAAGATATGAAGACATGATTGATCATCACAGTGATACACACAACTAGAGCAGTTGTGAAATTAAAGCCTGAATAAAATTAAGGCCTGAACGGGATTCCAACCCATGACCTCTGTGATACTGGTGCAGTGCACTACTAACTGAGCTCTCAAGCCAACTAGGAGCTGGTCACATTGTGAGTTCATAATATACCCGTAGATGGTGAATACATGTACAAGAGAATGTATGAAAGACAATGTATTTGAACTGCAGAGAATGATAGGAAGATATGATTGATCATCGCGGTTATACATGCAACTAAAGCAGTTGTGAAATTAAAGCCTTAAAAAGCTTTCATATCTTTCTCCGCAGTTCAAATATATGGTCTTTCATACATTCATTTGTACATATATTCTTCACCAACGAACTCGCAATGTGTACTAATTTTTTCCAGGCTTTAATTTCACAACTGCTTTAGTTGCATGCATAACTGCAGTGATCAATCATATCTTTGTGTTTTATTTTTACTGTACATCAAAATAAATTATGTTATCTACAACACCTAGCTACAGTCAGATATCTGGGAACCTTTCCAGTCACCACAAGCCAATCATAAATATTTTTAGTTAACCCCCATGAAATTATACCATTAGATACCAGTACTACAAGTTATCTAATTCAAGAGACACAACATGAAATTATTTTGTTTGGATATGCAGTGGACTAAGGGATAACACATAATTTTTGGACCCAGGATAGAGCTGGCAGAGTTCAAACGCTGGCTTGGTCAGATCGTCACTGGTTAAAGCTCTGGCCAGGTCACTGTGTTTTGTTCTTGGGCACGTCAAACAATTTCAGCAACAATTGCTCCAGGAGAGAAAATTGGCCCGACAACTTATAAACTGGAGATAATTCGCTTGCCAACAATTACAGTGTTCTTGCAAAGTTTCAGTCCCTGCGGCGAACATACAGTAGCTGTAGCTGTACCACTTAAGAGAATCAAACTACTAGACATGGCATGCATTTGCTGCAACCTTTATAAAGCATACATCTTTGTACACAGACGAGCCCCAGAGTATCTCAGCTGCAATGATGCAAGCCCAGGTATGTTCTCTTCCAACTGATCAACAGCATGTGTTGTAATTTGACTGCACATGCTCAGATCTAGGTGTGTAAGATTGTGGCTGTGTTTTGCAAGGTCCAGGATACTCTTATCAGTAATGTTATCACACTTAGATGCATCCAGTGCCACCAGCCGCTGAAGATGAATTGCAACTAGGGACACACCAATGTCTGTCACTGAGGTACATCCACTGAACGTGAGATGCTCTAGGGTGTGAAGATTCTCAGCCACATCAGCCAGCCCACCATCGGTAACCTGCAACAAGAAAAATTTAAGATCAACTTACTAGGCACCATCATGAAAAACTTAGTCCATATTTCAGCAAGGTACAGTAACGGTTAAGTCTGTATGTGAACCAAGCAGCCCATCAGGCTGGCAATTATCTCCAGTTTCTATTTAGCATAATTCGACTAGGGGTATTTCTACTCACCTCTGGATGGGATGTGAGTCCATCACAGGGTTACCCCCCATAACTCCCCGCCCCCCTCCCTCAACAGTATTAAATTCACCAGTTCTCATTTACACACCAGGCAGTCAGAGAGTAAAGTGTTTTGCCCAAGAACGAACACAACAAAATGTCCCTGACCAGGACTCGAACAGAGCCACTTGATCTGGAGTCGAGTGAACTGACTATGAGGACTCCACACCTCCCACTTAGTCTATACTCAAGGGGAGAAAATTTTTTTAAGGTATCATCTGTTTGTCTGTTTGTTAGAAGTTCCATGAAGGTGCATATATATAAGGTGTTTAGGGAGGAGGAGGAAGGATGATATACTGGGTGGTTGGGGAGGGAATTCTACAAGGGATTTTTGAAAATCTCTAGGAACTAAACATGATGGGAGGGGGGGAGGGGTGAAAATAATGAGTGTTTGTTGAGTTGAAAATATAGCTCTAAATGTTTTCAAGAACTAATACGGAAAGCCTTGCAATCAAGGGCATCTGTTTAGCAGAGGGTGGTGTGGGGAAAGTTTTCCCAAGGGTTTCAGTTTGACTGATGTTCTATAGAGGCAAGGGGAAGTGAGTTCTCCCAAGTATATCTGGTATAAGGGTGGAGACATTTTTTTAGGTATGTGTAGTTAGCATACTATTCGTGACAATCCCTTTCACCCTCGCTGAACAAGATATGGAGAAATGCGACCGCGCTTGAGTGAGTTGGAATTGTAAAAGGATAGGGAAAGGGAGGGACAGGAAATGAGAAGTGTGGTAGCA